ATATTTTTTAAAAAATAGAGCAACTCTTCTTACCATTTATTTTTGTTGGTTTTGGAAAACACATTTTTCATAAAATATATTTTTCTGTTAACATGTAATAGGCTTAATATTGTTACTTAAAATACTTTAAAATTTTGTTTTAACTTCAAGTAGGTAAGAATAGACAGACATAATGCACATAAACAAAAGCTCTTTGGGATCCTCAATAATTTTTAAGAGTGAAGAGAGGTGTTAAGACCCAAAAGTTTTAAAACCACGGTTCTAAAATGCTCTCTCCTTCATTTATCTTCTTTCCCCCAGCATTATCATGTTTCTTCATGTACATGGAGAAATACATGTGTACGTGTATTATTCCCTCTACTTAAAGAGAGGGGACTCTCTGTATTTATCACAGTTTAATTCTAAATCCACTCTCCTTTTCAAATTTATCTTTGCTTGACTCTGCTGCTCTAATAGGTAGCCACTGACTCATCTCTTGTTTTCCTTTCATTGCTCAAACTTCTCAGATTTATGCCCTTCACTTACTGGTAGCTCCATCCTGAGTGTGGTGACTCATCGGGTGTGTAGAGTGTGGGAAGGAAATTGGCCAGGAATTCAGTCTTGCATCCTGCTAACTTATTAACCTTCCTCAAGTATTGGTATTTTTGTATTATTCTTGCTCAAGAGCCGACAGAGTCCTTGCTTATCACCTCAGATATAAACTCTCTGCCTGTGTTCATTCTTACAATGTTATCCCACCTACCAGCCTTACCTCCCATTAACCCAGCGCAGGCCCTCTCTATGGAAAGGCTGATTGCCTCACATGCTCTTTCCCAATGATACACTTTGTGTACTGGCCCCTCCTATGACCTGGCTAGATGTAATCCAGCCTTTAACCCCAGTTCAGGTCCCATAGTCTCCATTAAGGTTCCGGAGTCTCTTTCTTCCCTCATCATCACAGCAAACATGTACTTGGTAGGTGTCAAGCTCTGGGCTAGACATTTGTGACATAAAGTCAAAAGGTCGAATCAGCCCAGCAGGTCAGGTGGTCACAGTTCAATTCCTGGTCAGAGCCCATGCCCGGGTTGCGGGCTTGATCCCCAATAGGGAACACGCAGGAAGCAGCCAATCAATGATTCTCTGTCATCATTGATGTTTTTATCCCTCTCCCTTCCTCTCTGAAATAAATAAGTAAATATTTTTAAAGAGGTAGAATCAAACACACTCCCTGTCCAGCTCAGGAATGTATCCAATGGGGAGACTGACATGACCCTAATAATACTGTGTACCAAGCATTTAAAATACATTATTTCACAGAATCCTCAAACAAACCCTATTATACCAGTAGTCCTACTGTCCATCTAAGAAATGAAACAGATACGTGGCCTGCTATCAGATATCTAGCAAGTGTCAGGTTCTTCTTGACTCCAGAGCTGGAGTTCTTTTTTTTTTTTTTTAACATATTTTTATTGATTTCAGAGAGGGCGGGAGAGAGAGAGAGAAACATCAATGTCCTTGACCGGAATCGAACCCGGGACTCTTCAGTCTGCAGGCCAATGCTCTTTCCACTGAGCCAAACTGGCTAGGGCAGAGCTGGGATTCTTAATAATTATCTAATAATGAATGCTTTTTGACTGAAATAGATCAGAGCATAATGGGCAAAGTGGCAAGCAAGGAAACAAAAGCCTTTGTTTCTGGGAGGAGGCAGGTCTAGTAAGAGAAAGTTTCATGTTGTCCTTCTGTATATCCACACACACATACACACACACACACACACACACACACACACACAAACCCAAATGCACCACAAACAAGCATTATCAAGGGTATGATGTTAGGAGTGAAAGAGAAACTTGGGTAACATGTTGCTCTCTTTTTTGGATTCCCAAAGAATAGGTCATTGTCCATATTTTCACTTACACATCAAATTCATTGGTGTTAATTTTTTTATGCATCTGTTTCTACCATTAGAGCACCTATTGTGAGCTAGTGAGTATAGAAAGATGTCTTATACCCACTAGCTCACAGTAGGTGCTTAACACTTGTTCTCTCTTTTTGATTTTTAGAGAGAGAGAGTATTGTTGTTCCACTTATTAATGCACTCACTGGTTGATTATTGTATGTGCCCTGACCGGATGAACCTCCAACCTTGGCATATCCAAAGGATGCTCTAACCAACTGAGCTACTGGGCCAGGGCTCAATGAGTGATCAGTATGCAGGATGTGTGAGGTTGGAGAGAGAATGCTGATAGAATAGATAAGGCAGGGTGAGGCCTGATTTTAAAGAGCATGCTCTGGAGATTTAAGCCTTACTGTGCCAGGCCAGCACAGCCAAGGGTTCGGTGAGTCTGAGGGGGTGGGGGTGGGGGTGTCCGCGAAGGATTAAAGATAGACAAGAGAATCAGCTAGGTCTAGGACTAGGTGGACCTCCCGTGCCTGGCTGAGGCCACAGAGAGATCCAGAGGCAAGCTGGGCCTTTATTTTATAGCCAGAGGTAAACAAGGTAGTGGTCACCATAGTTACAATGTTCTTATGAGTTTCACTTGTTTTGGCAGCACTTGCTGCACCTCCCACAGCCCATTAGCTACCCAAATAAGATCTAGGGAGAGTCATAAGGTCAAACTTAATTATGCTAAGAGAGCTGTGCCCTCTAAGCTGCAACTTGTTTGTGGCTTTGCCAACAGGTCAGTCCCAGGCTTAACCCTATAACCGCTCCCTATAGCTTACTATGTAGGCAACAGGGGAAGCTATAAGGGTTTTCTGTTAATAGTACTTACTCCCTCCTCCCCAAAGTTACCATTAAGCTCTGGCCAGCATTGATCAGTGGTTAGAGCATTGGTCTGAGCACCTAAGGGTAGTGAGTCCAATTGCAGGCACATAGCTGGGTTGCAGGTTCAATCCGCAGCCCCTGTCGGGGTATGTGCGGGAGGCAACCAATCTATGTGTCTCTCTCACATAGATGTCTCTGTCTGTCTGTGCCTGTCTCTTCACCTCCCTCCCTCCTATCACTCTCTCTAAAAAGCAATGAAAAAAATATCCTTGGGTGAGGAATACAAAAAATAAATAATAAATTAAAAAGCCTACACTTAAGAATAGTTGTTTCTTGCCCTGCCCGTAGTGCTGTTCACCAGGCAAATGTCCTCACCTCTTCTGTTTACCTGAATTTATAGCCATATTTCTAAATGTTTTATAGGGTGGGTTTTTTAGATATTGACTTCCCACTATAGGGTATGAGGACTTCATTTTCCATGGCCCACTCCCCTCATTATTGTGACGTTCTATCCACTGAGCCAAAACGACTAGGGCTAGGGACATTTTATTTATATATATATATTGATTTCAGAGAGGAAGGGAGAGGAAGAGCGAGATAGAAACATCACTGAGAGAGAATCATTTATCAGCTGCCTCCCGCACACCCCACACGGGGATCGAGCCCACAACCTGGGCATGTGCCTGACCAGGAATTGAACTGTGATCTCCTGGTTCATAGGTCAACGCTCAACCACTGAGCCACACTGGCTGGGCTCTGGGGACACTTTTGTATTATTTCTTTGATCAATGCCTCTCCTCCATTTTCTCTCTCCTCATTCCAGACCTTGTATCAAGTGAAACTCCTGAATTAATTCTATAAAAACTTTTTTCTTCTATTTTCCATTTCTTTGCTTTTTATTCTACTTTTTGTGATATTTTTGCATTTCCAACGAGCTCTTTCTTAAAATAGAATCTGTATATCAAGCCCTTCCTTGTTAACTGATGTTACACATGTAATTAGTATGTTAATGAGAAAGCTTGTTATATATATGTTAGATATAATACACACTAATACCTGATTTATGTGCAAACTCTTCTCTTTGTGAGTATAATGAAAATTAGTTTTCCCTACTTCAATCCTATTTTCTCCAGGTCCTACTTGCTTTATGTTGGAGCGGCCGTTCTCAACCTGTGGGTCGCGACCCCTTTGGGGTCGAACAACCTTTTCACAGGGGTCGCCTAAGACCATCGGAAAACACATATATAATTACATATTGTTTTTGTGATTAATCACTATGCTTTAATTATGTTCAATTTGTAACAATGAAATTGGGGGTCACCACAACATGAGGAACTGTATTAAAGTGCTGCGGCATGAGGAAGGTTGAGAACCACTGTGTTGGAGGCTTCCTCCAATGTCTGGGACTTGGCTGCCTCTCCATTTTCAAAGCTGAGAGTGTGTGGATGGGAGAAGGGAACTGGGAGTCCATGGACAGGCTTTTGGTCCCTTGTCTAAAGCTATCTAGCAGCCTCTGGTGCCTGTAAGTACTGAATCTCTGAGGGTTTTCAGAACTCATTAACTTGTCTTCATTTACATTTCTGATTTTTGTTCCTTAAATTGTTACTTCCTCCACCCTGCTAAATCAATGAACACTCTTCCATTCAATTTTCATCTTCTTAGAAATTTATTAAAATCTCATTTTTTCTCTCTTGTTTGCTTGGTTCTTCTGGGTTAACTTTTCCCATTCCTTTATAATTTTAGAAAATGGGAGGAGGCAGACAGAAACTCTGTTACTCTACCTTTTAAAATCAAAAGTCCACTGAAGTTCTAAGTAGGCGGGTTAAGGAATTCTTACCTTTTTAAAGATAAAATATAGGTGACTTTATAGAGAAGAGGCTGGAGAAGGGAGAAAATGGAGGCAAACAAAGTTGGTTTAAAGCTGTTGTAAAGTCCAAGTAAATCATGAGTTAGGGTGGTTGTAGTGGGGAAAGCAAGGGTACATGAAAATGTGTTTTTTCTTTTTTTTTTTTTAAAGGTTTTTGTTTTTTAAAAAAAAGTGATTTTATTGATTTTTTACAGAGAGGAAGGGAGAGAGATAGAGAGTTAGAAACATTGATTAGCTGCCTCCTGCACATCTCCTACTGGGGATGTGCCCGCAACTCAGGTACATGCCCTTGACTGGAATCGAACCTGGGACCTTTCAGTCCGCAGGCCAACGCTCTATCCACTGAGCCAAACCGGTTTCGGCAAAATGTGTTTTTTCTTACAGGTACTATCAACACTTGACTTAATGAAGAGGGTCAAATTATGTCAAGGCTTTCAGTGTGGTTGACTGCGATAGTGAAGGTGGAGACCATTTTTTGTGGAGCTTTGGAAGCATTTACATTCAGAAGGAGGCAAAGGGACTGGAAGAAGACTGTGATGAAAGAGAACCAAAGGACTGTGGTGTTTGGTTTCAAGATGGGAAAGAGGGGCGGAGTCAACGTTTTCCAATGCAGGTAGGTCCTGTCAGACAAAAGTAGAGAAAGCCTTTGCATTTGGCAATTAAAAGTTGATTTGCGACTTTTGAATAAAAGGTTTTCATGGAAGCCTAGAGACTAAAGCTATATTCTAGCAGATTGAAGAATGAAGGTAATGAGATGATATAGAGGCAGAATGTAAGGTATTATAGAAAATGGAATAAATCAATGTGTAGTCAGGGTCACAGGAACGTTCTTTATAGAGTAGAAGACACGTATATTTGTGGGAAGAAGGAAAAGATAGCACTGTGGAAGAGATTGCAAATAAAGTGAGGATGCAGTTGATGATTCAAGACCTCAGAGGACATGTGATCAAGTTCATGGACAGAGATTGACCTCAGAAAGAAGGGCACTCCTGAGAGTTCTAGGATGAGCTTCTCATAAACTCTGTTCCCCTTAAAATACACACACAAACACCCACCCACGAGGTTTTTGTCTTGCATTAGGGTATTTCTCTCTTTCTTTCTCTCTCTCCCATACACACACACACATACACACCAGTTCAATTTATGGGAAACAATAACTCATTGTAACATATGTCCTAAAATATTAGTTATTCAGTCCACAACAACACAATGGATGCTTTATCAAAAGAGTCTAAAGTTGGCTTTGTCATTTCTACTTCTTGTCCCCACCAAAGTCTCTCCATCAGTGTGGAGTGAACAGATGATCTCTGGTCATCCAAGAGATAACTGTTGTATAAAATATCTATATGCATGTGTGCACACATACATTCACAGGCACACACATACAAACACATACTTCTCAGAAAGAATGTAAACTTATTATTCTATCATTCTCAACTCTCTTAGCCTGCTTTATTTTTCTTCACAGCACCAGAGCCAATTTTCAGTCAATGTATTTTAGCATGGCTACATCACTTGCTATAATATTGAAATACCCTACTTCTATCCTGGTAAGTAAATAACTGCTGTCCCAGATCCTGAGTTCATCCCCTGCTCTTATTACCCCAGCATCTCTAAGACCTTCCCAGGATTCAGCAACTAAAGGCATAACACCAGTCACAACAAAGCTAAGGCTGGCCTATTTTCTTTTTTAAATTTACTAATGAGAAAGAGATTTATCGTTCCACTTACTCATGCATCCCTTGGTTGATTCTCGTACATCCCCTGACTGGGAATTGAACTGTGACCTCCTGGATTATGGGATAACGCTCAATCAACTGAGCCCTACCAGCCAGGCCTAGTGTCAAATATTTTTAATATACCACCTTGTATAGTACTTATCATTAGCTAAAATTACTTTACATACTTTAAAATTTTCTTAAGTTATATATTTTTAAAGCATCACTCTTTTTAAAAATATGTACATCTTTTATTGATTTCAGAGATGAAAGGAGAGGGAGAGATAGAAACACCAATGATGAAAGTCATTGATTGGCTATCTCCTGCATGCCCCACACTGGGGATCAAGCCCACAACCCGGGCATACGCCCTGACCAGGAATCAAACCATGAACTCCTAGTTCATAGGTTGATGCTCAACCACTGAACCACACAAGCACGGCTCTTTATATTCTTTTTAATATAAATTACCAATATTGTCTGTCTGCCACGTAGAAAGTAAGCTGCATGAGGGCAGGGACTTTGTTTTACATTATATCTCTGTTATCCTTTTCCCCACTGAGTGCTCAGGGTGAATTCCTTACCATATCTGGAGAAAAAGAATTTTCTGAGACTCGCAAGGGAGGATAAGTGATTTCTATTTGCGTGGAATTATATCCCTGCATCTCTAAAATCCCATTTCCCTTAATCCAGTCCTGGAAGATGTGCAGCTGGGGATTCAGTAGAGCTAGAAGCAAAGCCAATGTCCAGAATTTCCATTCCATGGTGGAGCTGGGTCCTGTGTAGCATCAGGCTAGTTGCAGTCCATTAGTTCTTTGTGTGTGGGCAAGTGCAGAAGCCTGAGAACTCCACAAGCCAGGAGTGAAGAGAGCATGAGCACAAGCCAGGAAGAGAGCGAACTCCTTTGTTTTCAACAGGTGTGGGAAACCTTTTCTCTGCCATGGGCCATTGGATATTTATAACATCGTTCACGGGCCATACAAAATTATCAACTTAAAAATTAACTTTGCCCAGCCAGTGTGGCTCAGTGGTTGAGCTGTGAATCTCTTATCATTCATGTTTCTACCTCTCTCTCCGTCTCCCTTCCTCTCTGAAATCAATAAGAAAAACTGTATTTTAAAAAGTTAGCCTGCTATATTCAATCAATTCAACTTACTCCTAATGCCTTGGCAGGGCCAGACCAAATGATTTCATGACCTTATATGGCCTTTGGGGGCCAAGGGCCGGAAGTTCCCCACCCCTAGTTTAGGAAATTATCTCAAATCTTCCCATGCTTGCCGGGGTCACGGCTACTGTGGCCAATTACCTATCCCCAGGTATGACTGTCAGTCAATTACCTTCCCTACTTCACCCAGACTTTACTGGGCATGTGTCTAAACTGCGGCTTTCTGGCAACGCTGCACAAATGGCATGCCCATAATATTTGGCCTTCCCTTTGCTCCTTTCCAGTTACTCATAACTAGGTAAAATTACAACGGTATCATCTCCAGACCTAAAATATACCAGGCACATAATGGATGATCAGAAATATTTGTTAAATAGGAGATATCTGTAATACTATCAACAATAAAATATATATTTAAAAATGGGAAAAATATTTGTTGGATGAGCCAATTTTTTAAGGAAAAGTATTTTCTAAATAAAACACATTTTTATGTAAATGGATGTAGTTTTTTTGTTACTTTTTTCAGAATGGTTTCTGTATCTCATTTTTTTTATCTTCCAGTTTCCTATTCATGCCCAGAGGCCTCCTTCCTCTCTGTAAAAAATCAAAAAATATATTTTAAAAAAAAGAAAATTAAATTTAACCTCCTAAAACTATTTTTCTAGGATAGGTGATGAGAGAATCAAGCAATATGTAAATCTAAAAAAAAAACACAGATAATGAGGAGGGATACCATTGGTATTTGAGTCTGGTGGCTAACAGTTCTAGAGCTCCTACGAAAGAAAACAGAAGGCTTTCATAGTTCTTTTACAGCTCAGATAAATGATTTTGTATTATACTGTCACATCAGTTGGAGATTACATGAAAAAAAGAACAATCCTAAGGATATCTGATTAGTCAAATAGTCTGTGTTTCACATAAGTTCACATAGATTCTCTTTTAACTATCATGTATTGATTTTCAATATTGGAATTTAAGGGTGAAAAATGCTAATTAATTAAATTAAATGTATTCATGACTGAGACTTCAATCTATTTAATATTCATTTTATCCTTCCAAATTTTCCCTTTATTAGCCTGAGAGCAATCATCTGATTACAAAATTTATTCAAGATGTCAACTCTCACTGAGACTATTTTATCTCCTTCATTACCATAATGTACTTTTTAAAGTGAAAGAAAACATTGGCTCTGTTGCAATGTGATATTATTGCTCAGATAATAAGATGCTGGCAATCAAGAGCAGATCCATCTTTTTTTTTTCAGAGAGGAAGGGAGAGGGAGAAAGAGGCAAAAATATCGATGACAAGAAAGAATCATTGGTCGGCTGCCTCCTACATGCCCCACACTGGGGATCGAGCCCACAACCCAGGCATGTGCCCTGACTGGGAATTGAACAGTGACCTCCAGGTTCATAGGTCGATTCTCAACCACTGAGCCACGCCGGCCAGGTGAGTAGATCCATCTTTACTGTGTATTCTGCCAAGAAAATTTACAGCGTGGGGCAAAAGTAGGTTTACAGTTGTTCATATGTAAAACAATTCAAAAATTAATAAATACTAATACAAGAATAAACTGTTTTGTGTATTCACAACTGCAAACCTATTTTAGCCCCACTTTGTATTTACTATAATGCTTAGAAAATTAAATTTAGCCCTGACTGGTTTGGCTCAGTGGATAGAGTGTCGGCAAACAGATGATGAGTAGGGATACCATTGGTATTTGAGTCTGGTGGCTAACAGTTCTAGAACTCCTACGAAAGAAAACAGAAGGCTTTCATAGTTCTTTTACAGCTCAGATAAATGATTTTGTATTATACTGTCACATCAGTTGGAGATTACATGAAAAAAAGAACAATCCTAAGGATATTAGATTAGTCGTATAGTCTGTTTTTCACATAAGTTCACAAAGATTCTCTTTTAATATTGGCCTCTACTCTACTTTGTCTAACTTCGACATACTTGACTTAAACCTCCTTGATTCCATTTCCTGGCTGTTGTAAATTCCTGGTGCTATCATTTCATTATTTCCCCCCCTTTTTTCAAGGATCACTGTCAACAATGAAAAGGCTCAGCAAACATCTCTTTTGTCACCTGTTAGAAATAAGGTGAGCCCCTAAATTCAGGGTTCCGGGTAGAACACAAAACACACTTGGGAGCCAGGCAGCGAGGCGAACATCTTCACTTCTGCGTAGAAGGGTGTGCACACAGCTCTGGAAGCACGTGCACAAGTCTGCTGGACTTTGTAATCCCTGAGGCGTGTGACCTGGCCCTCACTCCTGATTGGCGCTCGGGCACACGGTCTTTCGTGATTGGCTAATTCAAAGGGAGGGGATTGGCCTTTGCCGTTTCAAGATGGCGACCCCCAGGAGAGCTGTAAGCCATGCGGCCAACCTGGCAGCTGCCAAGTCTCGCAGCCCCAAATGGCGGCTGTCTAAACTGCTTTTTGACAGAAAAGATGCCTTGTTTCTTCTCACACATCCTTCATGCAATCTCTCAGAAAAGAGGGTGCTTGTTGATCAAAGGTCAGGACTTGATGAGTAGGGATACCATTGGTATTTGAGTCTGGTGGCTAACAGTTCTAGAACTCCTACGAAAGAAAACAGAAGGCTTTCATAGTTCTTTTACAGCTCAGATAAATGATTTTGTATTATACTGTCACATCAGTTGGAGATTACATGAAAAAAAGAACAATCCTAAGGATATTAGATTAGTCGTATAGTCTGTTTTTCA